GTCAATGGTTCGGGGCGCTGCTCCATTGATGCTCAAGAAAGGCTATGTGCTGCTCTGTCTGGTCCGGAATAATTAACGGTCTGTGAAGCATAAATGAATAGTGTATTTTTTTTCCTTCCACTTTCATTTTGTTTGCATTCGCTGCTTGGTAACGAGTCGATAGATCGCTCTCAGACGCACATAGCAGCTTGTGATATTTGTCTCCGTCTCCTTCCCACAGACACGCGCGCTCTCTATTCTTGTCACACTCATTCCGGATTCATTGACGCGCCCCTTCCACGCTTAACCATGCGTTTAACGTGAGGCAAATTTACTGGTCGCACATGTGCGACTGGATGTAAAATTCAGTCGCACACTCTCAAATTTTAGTCGCAAAATGCGACCATTTGGTAGCCCTGGAGCCCTGGAAGTTTTTGAATAGGTCTAACACTAGTATTCATATACAGACACTGAATAAAGTAATCAAATGGAAAATAACACTGGGTAGTATTTTAGTCCTGAATAAATTACCGTAATTCCTCAAATAAAGACCGGTATTCAAATAAACGCCGGGCCTCTGATAGTGGCCGGGGGCGTGGTCAACGCGGACAAATAAAGGCCGGTCTCAAATTAAGGCCGGGGAAAAATTAGTGTACACTCAAAGACGGACTCGCTCAACGGTTGTCATATCACAACTATTCAGTGTTTTTAACCACATGTTTATTTTAGGTTTCAGACATTTAAATAGATATGATTTATAGCAAAACAATACATTTATAGTTTGTAAAATACACAATGGTGTCTATGGAAGCAGCAATAACAATCCAGAATCAAATATATTTGGCGACGTGTTTTATTCATATCAGATACACAGTGTAAGTAACTATAAAGTTTACTCTATTCTTCTCCCAGTTCACCGGCCACTTACTTTCATGTATTTCGGGAGAAACTGAAGAATTCACGCGCTGTAACGGAACAAATCCAACAGGCAGGAATCTCTGAACTGCGGTGCCCATCTCACGTTACAGATCAAGATAATTTATAAAGGGTTTTAAACGACAAAACAAAACTCACTTACACGGATTTGAGAGTCAGAATAGAAGATAGTTGATGACATGGTAAGCAAGTTTGTTAATATTTAGAAATAAAAGCGCTACATCTGTCATACAGCGCTATTTTGGCTGTGGTGAACACGTGCCAAGCATGACGCGTCACCATGGAAACTTGGCTGGCGGGCGGGCGGGGATCGCGAATTAGAAATAAAGGCCTGCCTCTAATAAAAGCCTGCTTCAAATAAAAGCCGGCTACCATCTGCAGTTCAGGTAAATAAAGGCCCCGGTCTTTATTTGAGGAATTACGGTAAATACATAGGCTATTAATCCTGATTCCTTTAACTCAAAGCTATATTTTGTTGTTTTGACAACAAAATTAATGACAGACACATATGGCTGCCGTCACTTTAAGAGCTAGTGCACGGACCCTGTGTTCATTATACTGGCATGCGTTTTATGCTTATTAAAGACAAAACCGACTATGTTTAGAGTATACTCACGAAGACCGAAATTGACACTTTTGCGTGTTAAAGCAATATAATCCGTGAAAAATAACTTTTGTTACTGGCCAGCTGTTTTTGAGGCGGATTTTCTATGAATGTGCGAATAGAAAATCATCTCAGAGAGCGGGCGAGCACTGATTAGTTTAAAATCGCTTGAATGTTTAAACTGGTAAGACTTAAAAAGACGTGCAAATGGCCAACTTCAGTCATGATGCACTGCTGGCCCGATTGTGCAAGTGAATATTCCGTCATGTCCCGACTCCTAAACGCGAGAGTGTATTATCGCCGCAGCGCTTGATGCTTGCCTTGCACAACACATTTTGAGAGAAGAGATAGAAGACGCGGCACCGCTGAACACTCACGCTGTTTGTGAAATTGCGTCTGGCAGAGAGTTGTTAAAAGAATGATTTGATTTTATAATCTGTGTGGATTACGATTGCGGGAATTTCCCGCATTATAAATGGGAGACCTGCGGGAATGATTAGAATTATGCGCAATCCCGCGCCGAAATTCGAGCTCTGCAGCCATAATGTGTAATTGTTACTTTGTTGTTCATTTTATTACTAACTTTTCAAATCAGTCGCTCTGACTTTTTACATCTAAATTTACAGTTTACATATAAAATAGCACTTTATTTTATGATCTGTGCTGACAGTGATATTTAATTTTCATGAATAAATAGGATGTTAATATTACAAACTGTTTTTCTGACCATAAACATTAAATGTACGCAGTGACAATTTATATTCCTATCCTAAAATCTTGTCTTGTTCAACAAATGCTTCTAACCAGGTCAATCAGCTTTTAGTCATTGTTGCACTCTGGTGGTTGGGAATATCAATATGGCTGCTCAAACACTTGATGTCAAATTGGGAGATCAGTGATTATCCTGTGACTTAATGCTGTCAACTGTTGTGTTGATCAGAATATGATATGCCTTGTCTTGGAACAAAAGTGGTAAAGTGTTTTAATCTTTTCCCTAAAGACATGGTTTGATAACATGGACCGAGCAGGCGAGTCTAAGATCAAACCCTTCGATGGTGATGACTACACCTGCATCACATTCCATCCGGACCTGGCAAAGTTTAAAATGCAGGCTTTGGATAAGGATACTGTCGCGCTGCTAACTCGACGAGCATATGACATCGCTGGGGCCACTAAGGGCGTCCGTGTCTTTCTCAATGGCAAGAAACTGCCAGTGAGTAGATGATTGGGTTTTGCACTTGGACATCATGAATTTTTCTGTTTATATCACTGTATTTAACATTTTTTCCTAAGTTTAAGTTTGTTTATCTTTCAGGTGAATGGTTTCCGTAGCTACGTGGACCTTTATCTGAAGGACAAGGTGGATGAGACTGGTTCTCCCCTGACGATAGTCCATGAGAGTGTGAATGAACGCTGGGAGGTGTGTCTTACCCTTAGTGATAAAGGGTTCCAGCAAGTCAGCTTTGTTAACGGCATCGCCACAACTAAGGTAAACGTCTTCAGGTTTACAACATGGCATTGTTGTTGGGGTTTAGCGTTGAATTTTGTCAAACGGTTTGATTTTGAGTATATTTGTTATGAAATCCAATTTCTGTCCCTGTTTACTCAGATGTTTAAGGTTACTTAATAGTAGTAATACGGTAGTCCATAATAATTCATGTGAATCTAGCAGTTTAATACCAAGTCTAAAGAGAAATTATTGCTTGATATACATTTTTTATTTAATTCACATTTGAACATTTATCAACGCACAACAAACAGGGTTCGTAGAAGGTGCTTAAAGTGTTTGAAGTACTTGAATTTGACTTTTTGAAATTTAAGTCCTGGAAATCAACCATATTTTTGAAGAGGTACTTGAAAAGTGCTTGAATTATATAAAAAAAAAACCCTGAAAATATACAATCGTTTCACGCAAAATTAACGCTGCAGTCCGTCTGAGATATAGAGCCATTTCTCATGGCTATGAGCATATTAAGTTTATGATAAGTATATAATACAACTTTTTAGGGCTGGACCCGAATATTCGAGTATTCGTTCGGTGCGTTGGTATTCGATTTGAAAATGTAACATTCGAATATTCGTGTTGTTGTTTTTTCGCACCTGGCATCCCCCTCGAAATGGTTCTCATTCGTGCTTGAATATGTTTTATATTATAAAATCTGGTGATATATAATACTTAACATATAACTTCGTTATAGCTACTTATAGCTACCTAATAAATATATTTGCTTCTTCTTGGACTATTAAAAGTGTTCCTGCAACGGGAGTATTCTCTGGCTAGAGCGCAGAACAGCGGAGTTTGTATCATGGACAGAAGTGCATGCCTAAGCTTGTGTTTTAGGTTAAGCTGTGTTGCTTTGACATTGTGGAAAATAGAATAATAGAAACAAAATGTATATCCTTTTTACCGGTTATTATCAAGCTAAATTAATCTACTGCGAAATATAAATTGAAATTTGTCATGTTATTGAAATTGTTATTGCTACCGTGTTCTTTATTTAGGCTATTACAGTTCATTCATTTATTTTTCGTTTTTCTATATTCAAATTTCGTTTTTATTTATTTAAATTTCGTTTTTATTTATTTAAATCTACCCTACTTTGTCAGTGAGAATTTTTACCTTATTAAAAATACTGCTTAAGTTAAAAGACCTGTGTGTGTGTTTTATATCACTAGTGCGTGCGTGCAGTGTCTGTTCTCGGAGCATACGGTATAAGCCCTGCTCCCGTGAGGTGCGCCGCTTATTTAAATCTACCCTACTTTGTCAGTAATTTGTTAGTGAGAAAAATATTAGACTACCTTATTAAAAATATTGCTTAAGTTAACAGACCTGTGTGTTTTATATCACTAGTGCGTGCAGTGTCCGTTCTTGGAGCATATAAGCCCTGCTCGCGTGAGGCGCGCCGCTTATTTAAATCTACCCTACTTTGTCAGTAATTTGTTAGTGAGAAAAGCAATAATTTTAATAAGGTAGTCTAATATTTTTCTCACTAACAAATTACTGACAAAGTAGGGTAGATTTAAATAAAGAAGCGCGCGCGGCCGCGCGCCTCACGCAAGCAGAGCTTATATGCTCCGAGAACGGACACTGCACGCACTAGTGATATAAAACACAGGTCTGTTAACTTAAGCAATATTTTTAATAAGGTAGTTTAATATTTAAGTTAACAGACCTGTGTGTGTGTTTTATATCACTATAGTGCAGTGTCCGTTCTCGGAGCATATAAGCTCTGCTCGCGTGAGGCGCGCGCGCGCTTCCCGCTTGTGCTGTTCTGTAGTTTATTAAAAGTTTATTAATTCTGAACTTGTCGCGTCTCGCCTGTCTATCTATATTGCACCAAATACGACACTGCACTCCTTGTGAAGTCGTTTGGAAGTCGTTCTCTTACATTTTACATCGAACTTACATTTTACATCGTTCCCTTACATTTTACATTGAACGGTTCTCGAAATAATCAAAATGCAACCGGACAGACAGACATATAGAGATTCCAAAGCTTCGAATATTCGATGTTCATTACTACCGAAGCTTCGAAGCTCAAAAAATGGCATTCGGACCAGCCCTACAACTTTTATTCTTCAGGTCAATCATATATTCATGGAAAAAATCCGTTTCAATATCCTTTCAATGGCTAAGGGGATTTCCCATGCCTGACAGCGCTGGTCAATAGACTGATCTCTATGAAGCAAAACATCAGATACCATAAATGTGTAATTTGAGTAAAAAAATAAATGAATAAATAAAAATAATAAAGATATTGTTTGATAAGTCCTGATTGAAATCCAAAAAAGTAGTGCTTAAAGTCCTTGAAAGTCCTGGACTGTCATTTTACAGAATCTGTACGAACCCTGAACAAATTGCTTGACATGAGAGAACAAACCTGATCGGTTTCCTTTGTTCTTGTGTCACGAAGACATTCTGTAAGAATTAATGTCAAGTCATATTTATATAACACTTTATACAATACAGATGGTTTCAAATCATTTTCAAATTTCAAAGCAACTAACTGACTTCCATATTTAGTCGATTATGCCTCTTCTCGTCGGCTAAAATTTAGTGTACTATTAATGGGCAGCTCTCGTTCACATATAACCGTAATGGCACAGAGGAAAGGTGTCATGCTTTTTTCTTTTTTTTTCACTGATGAACAAAAGTAGTGATCCATTATTTTGGATGTAATAGTTATCGTTTTCGTAAGGGCAAACTGAAACCCCATTTAGAGTTGACCTGTAAACATATGTGGACATAATATGCCTATTTAATCTCTCAGATCCTGTAAATTGACAGAGGAAAGTGCTTTCAATAGTGTTTTGTGTTTTAGGGTGGCAGACACACAGACTATGTTGCAGACCAGATTGTGTCCAAACTGATTGAAGTGGTTAAAAAGAAGAACAAGGCTGGAGTGGCTGTCAAACCTTTCCAGGTACATACAGATTATCAGCAAACCTTATAAAACTTAAGGATTATGGCTCTCTGGTTGACCTGGTTGAACTGTGTGTGCAGGTGAAGAATCACATGTGGTTGTTTGTGAACTGTCTGATTGAGAACCCCAGCTTTGACTCTCAGACCAAAGAGAACATGACCTTGCAGCAGAAGAATTTCGGTTCCACCTGCTCTCTGAGTGATAAGTTCATTAAACAGGTGAGAAATGTGACACTTTAATCATTCATTTTGAATTGAGCCTGAACCATGCTTAATGGGATAGCCTAATTAAAGTGCTTGTAGTCTGCATATAATGCTCCTCTTCAGCATTTGACATCAACAATTATTGCTGTCGTGATCAATAGGAAATAAACATCTCTATTTAATTTATGGCATGGCATAGTGCAGTTCCAGGTTAAACTGGTTTGCGGGTAATTGTTGTCAGAAGTACAGATATTTCAGTACCAAATCAGAAGTTTTAAAAATGTAACCATACTAGCCGCCTTTTAGTAGAGTACCATCTCAATTCAGTCCCTGTAGATAGGCGGCTGCTTTTAAACATTTCCATGCATATTTTTGTAAGCTCCTTGAAAGGGGTCATATCATTCTATTTAAAGAAATCATTATTTTGTTTTATTGGGTGTAATAGAATAGGTTAGCATTCTTTTAATGTTCAAAAACATTACTTTTCACATACTATACATTAGGGGTGTAACGGTTCACAAAATTCACGGTTCGATACGATACACTTTTGTCACAGTTCGGTACGTTTTCGATACAGCAAAAAGAAAGAAATGCCAGAGAAATTTCCTTGATTTAAATTTTTTATTATATTTTTATTAAATCTTACTTCATAAAGTAGGATTTTTTTTACTTTGAGCAATGATGGAGTTATACTTGACTTTTCTTAGGAGCGTATAAAACAAAACACCTCCTTGGACTAAATGAAATGTAATATTGTAGTAGTTATAAACAAAGGAATATTTTAGTTCAGATTAACATTTGAGGGCAACAATTGTATTCATAATGTCAAAATAAAACCGACGTAATTTTACTTGAAAGCATTATAGCCTACTATTCCTGCCAAACTTCCATGGTTGGTTAGTAGTGTTACTACAGTAAATCCATGGTGAATGTTGCTGATCTGTGGACACTGAATAGTTCATTCATGGCACAATGTCTCTTCCTGCTTTCCACGTCAGTGCTGTTTGATCCGTTAATAACGGAGAAATTTGAATGCTTCTCACTAGATCTCGCAGCAATGTTATTCAGTGGCGAATTCAAATGTTTTCTTCACTGGATATCTTAGCACTGTGTCGCTTGATCTCGCGCTGCACAGATTTGCTGGTCCGAACTGATAAATAGTCCGTTAAGCACAATATAATGAGTAGCGAAGATTCGTTCCGCATTCATTACGTTTGCCATTTGATGTTGCGCAACGTTGTGGTGATCGTGCCAGCGCGGATTTTGTCTGCAGGAAAAATGGTCCTAGGAATCGTTCGGTTTGTATGCGTACCGAACCAGAAGCCTCGTACCGAAACGGTTCAATAATTACGAATACATGTACCGTTACACCTCTAATTTACATATATCCGAGTCCTGATCGGGAGGTAACATCCGATTCCGATCGAGTCTGAAACCACGTGATCGGGCCCGATTTCCGATCGTGTGATCGGATCGGGACATCCCTAATTAAATGTTTGTGAATTACAGTGTCCCGTGAGTAACTCTACTGCTGCGTTAACACGTGATCGAATGTACGCCGCATTGTACAGTATTTTGAGACAGGCGCCAGAACAACTGATAGAATGCACTGGCATGCCACTGCGATATTTCTTAAAGCAGATCGTGGAGACATTTTAATCCTCTACGATCAAAAATCGTGATATCGCACACCCCAATATGTAGACTTTAATGGAACATTAAGTAATTGAACGGTCGTGAATTTATTGGTAAAAATCTGTATGAACCCTAACTGTAAAACTGAGTGAATTCACCTCTCTGTGTCTTGTCTGTAGGCAAATGTCTGTGGAATTGTGGAGAGCATTATGAACTGGGTGAAGTTTAAAGCCCAGGCTCAGCTCAATAAGAAATGCTCTGCTGTCAAACACACTAAGATTAAAGGAGTCCCCAAGCTGGATGACGCCAACGATGCAGGTAACTGTTTGTTGTGCTCTTAATATGTTAGGACACTTTGTTCTGCCTGGATATTCATTTCAGGATGGTTTGTTTCAGGTGGAAAGAACTCCACTAGCTGCACTCTGATCCTGACTGAAGGAGACTCGGCCAAAACTCTGGCTGTGTCGGGTCTGGGTGTGGTGGGACGTGATCGATATGGTGTCTTCCCTCTGCGTGGTAAAATCCTCAACGTGCGAGAGGCGTCTCACAAACAGGTCAATAAACTACACTTAAGGTTTTTTTATTAACTGCCTTGATCATTTCCATTACATGACCCGCAAAATATTTTTTTTGCTTTCTAGTTCCTGACTATTAGCTCCATTTCCTTCTTAGATTGTTCCCTGTATGATTTATAATACTTGTGTAGTGTATGTTAGCTTAGCAGGCTAATTAAATAGCACGCAAATTGAGAAATGTGCAATATGCTATTTGAAGTTTCTCTCTTCCATATAATGAAAGTGAATGGTTATCACAACTGTCTCCGATTCCCATTTACTTGCATGGAGAACTAGCCTGGGAAAACCCAGACAACTTCTGGCAAATTTAGATTTGCTCAAAGTTAGTCAGGCAAAGAGCTCATTCAAGCCCATTTCCAATCCGTCGAAATCGCGGCACCAATCAGAAACGTTGGGGCGGGCTTTACACGTTGATGACAGCGCTGGGATTTTGAAGCAGATTTTGTAGCCTACATTACAAAGATGGATGCCACCGTCGGACATCACTCGTTCGAATCAGCTATCGCGTCTGTTTTAAGCGATTTGAACGTTTCCTTTTAGTTAAAAACCGAGCAAAGAACAACACTCAGATGTTTCTCCGCCGCTCTGCATACGTCATCTCCTTTATCGCTCTGATAGGGTTTAGGTCTATCCGCGACGTCCGTTGGTGACGCCCCTCTGGAAATGATTTGTCTATGACGCTTTGCCAGACCATAACTCGGTTACAACTGAGAATGGTCTGGTTTTAACCAGGCTAACCGAGAACAAGAGAATATATCTTTTTGTCAGTACAATGCAAGTCAAATGGGTTACCGTAGTTTTGCATTGTATGTTTCATTCATTGAGACATGTTTTCTTTCTTTGTAGATCATGGAGAACGCTGAGATCAACAACATCATAAAGATCCTAGGTCTGCAGTACAAGAAGAACTACAGTGACTCTGAATCACTCAAAAGCCTGCGTTACGGCAAGCTCATGATCATGACAGATCAGGTCAGACTTGACTACATAGTGTCTGTTACAGGATATTGGACTGTTGTAGTTTGTTGCCTGTGTAATGACGGGTGATTTCTGCAGGATCAAGATGGATCTCACATTAAAGGTCTTCTCATCAACTTCATCCATCATAACTGGCCATCACTGCTGCGCCACAACTTTCTTGAGGAGTTCATCACCCCGATCATCAAGGTAGATGCCGACTGTTCTTGTCATCAACAGTGCATAAAAATGTTAGTTGAATGAATCTTGACTGTGGCTGTTGTTGCTCTCTAGGCGTCCAATAAGAAGCAGGAGCTTTCTTTCTACAGTATTCCAGAGTTCACTGAGTGGAAGGAGAAACAAAGTAACATAAAATCCTGGAGGATCAAATACTACAAAGGTTTGTCTCAAACACCTGTGGTAGTCCACTGGCAAATGTAAGCAATGTTTTTACTCTGTCCTCATCTCTGCACAAGTGAAGGGGTCATAGACTGGGTCACCTGCACACTGGGTGTTTACTAGGGCTGGGTGGTATGACAATATATATTGTGGCGACAATATAAACTTCCTGTTGTTAGATATTGTGCTATATAGTTTATATTGCGGTATGCAAATATCTGCGTAAAACAGTACTAGTTGGTGGTTGATTCTTTTGAACAGTGGTTCTCAACCTTTTTCACTCCCAAGGTCTCCCCATGTTTGAAAAAAATATTATAAGGCCACCCCTCAACTAAACTAGTATTAAAAATGATTAATTATTTGAAGTTGTCTTGAGCCCCCCTTATAAGTCAGCTGGGGACCCTAGTTAAGAATCACTCTGATTAAAGGAATACATACGTGAATATGAAAGTAAAAAGCTGGATGTGCATGATGTTAAAAAGTGTTGGGGCAATAAGGCGTGGGAAAATAAATCAATGTGGTGTTCACGCTGACTGATAACCACACTCTGACCATAATCTGCGAAAGAACTGAATTTGTCAGATGCACATAATGGGGCCTATACCCATGTGTATAGCAGTGGTTCTCACGGGGTACGCAAACAAAATGCTGAGTTTTGCTGTATTTCGAGCAGGTAAAATGGCATAATACATGACATCCAATCAAATTACCACCTCTTTCGCAGTCAAAACTGACTGCATCCACACAAGCCAGCAAATCACACTACATTACTGCCATTCTTGACAATATACCTTTGTAAAAGTGGGGATTTAGCACTTACTAGCATGAAGAACAAATTTTGACACGGACTGTGCATAGAAATCAGTTTAAGATTAAAACTCTCTTTGATACAAAAAATACCCTGCTTGAGTTCTGGCTTTTGATGTTGATCATATATTATGAGCAAGAATGCAATGTTTCCCGAATATCCACACGATTGCAAATGTGACATTGATTTCATACTACAGTTCAGCAAACGAAAGGGTAAAATTAAGTGATGTTTGCTTTTTTTATATACAGTATTGCTGGGTTTGAAATTAACACCCGTCAAATGCGAGTAAAAATTAAGTGGCGGGTAACGCTGTCAAATCACTAGCCAATTTGGCATGTTACTTATGTTTACTCACCTTTGCTGGGGAAGTTCATGTGAGCCAAATCTGTGGAGATTTAGAGCAAATACTCAACTCCTCAAGTCATCATGATATATTAAATGCAGCTTTATCTGGCTTACTTGATCATGCCCGTCACTGCAACAAATAACTGTGCTTGTTCATAGGGGTGTGCGATATCACGGTTTTTGATCGTGGACGATTAAAATGTTTCCACGATCTGCTTTTGAAGAAATATCGTAGTATCATACCAGGGCTCGACATAAGCAATGGCCCGATGGCCCGGGGCCAGTAAAAGTGTATGTCGGGCTAGTTGATTGGCCAGTCACTTGCCCGCGCGGGCCAGTAACTGGCCATCAGCAAAACAAACAGCAAACGTCATACACAGTGGCGCGAAGAGTGTCAATGTTTCTTCAGGTTATTTATAACGTGTTAAAATGTCAAAGAACTACGAGGCTAATACGAGAAAGAGTACCGAAACCCTGTATTAAACGGGACTGAATTTTGAAAGACCGCGCTGTATCGATAAGCTCGGACGTTATCGGTTCTGCTGTCGGTACTGGAGAAATACACGTAGGCTATCATTTATTATTGCTATAAAGACGGGTTTTTTTTACCATCTCGCTGAGTCGCCAGCCATTTCTATAATATAATTAAACCATTTGTCTGTGATGCATTTTTGCTATTCGCGCAGTCCAGAAGAGAGAGAGATCTCACGCGGTGCCACAACACGCACAACACCTGACGGAGGACAGAACTAAACATTCAAGTTATGGTTACACTTTAGATCTGTGATATTAGTATGATTTTATTTTAGATTTCGGCTTCCAAAGATTATAGAATATATTTGAGGTAAAACCATTAAAAACTGCATTCTGTCTAGCGCAACTTCCTTCCCTTCGCAGCAGTACGCTGTCATTTCTCCTTAAAACTCAAACTTTAAGACAGAATCAGCACGATCGGTGATCGTTGTAAAATGCAGTCTCGTCTGTTGCTAAATTGCGGGACGCGTTTAATAAAAAGAGCTATTAAAAGCACAAAAATCTGCGCAAGAGATGCGGTTCCCAATGCAGCGCGCGCTCCGAAACATACCGTAACGGGACAAGCAAATTATACTTTGGGCTTCATGTGCGCGTCTAAACGATCAAATGTACACAAATGTGTCAAAATGACTGGCTTGGAGATTCACTTAAACAGTTTATGTCTAAAATGGACGCAGTTATGGAAATAGTTGGGAGAAAATATGGTGCATCAGTAGACTATTAGATCTGCACTCGTTCTTAAAGGGGAAGCAGTCTAATAAACATGCTGACGATCACGCCATTACTGAGAATCAAACAACAAAAGGCACAAAGAAAATCACTCGCAGCTCTCTTGAATGAATAACTTTAGCTTTAAGAAGTAAGATGAGGAGACTGAGAAAAAAAGAGAGAGGGAGATGAGGAGAAAGCAGGTATTGACAAATTTACTGCACACTGACATTTGGTTATTTTTGCATGTGTCCAGGGGCTCTCTCTTAATTCCTGAACTCCCTTCGCTGTTTTGATTAATCCTAATGTATACAATAAATACAGTTTATTTCTTTCAGGGCCAGTCAAAATATAGAAGGGGCCAGCAAAACTCTGATCTACTGGCCCCGGGGGCCAGTGGGGATTTTTTTTAATGTTGAGCCCTGATCATACATTTTATCAGTTGCAGTTCTGGCGCCGAGCTCTGTCTCAACATACAACAAATGTTAACGCAGAGGAACGGGACACTGCAGTTCACAGAAGTTCATTATTTGCATGTGCTTTAAAGCCTTGCTGGTTAAACATGTAAGTCACGTGCTGATGCGCTGTTCTGTCGTGTGCTTTCTGAGCGCATACACCCGAAGCACACGGTCACTAAAAGCCTGTCTAACAGCGTCTGTTTACTGGACTACGTTATAAGTTATTGTAAGTCTTATTGCGCTAATATTGTCAAATACACACAAGGTTTACATAAACAAAGTTGGTTATGTCTAAAGTGAAGGCAAACAGGAAAAAAATGAGAGAAAATCTGCTTGTCAAATGCGTGTATATTAGACGCGTCGCGTGCAGCTCTTAAAGCGACAGTAGCCAGTTAGTAAACAAGCTGCCTCTTGTCCTTAAAGCGATAGTTCACCCAAAAATAAAAATTCTGTAATTATTTACTCACTCTAATGTTGTTCCAAACCTGTATTAATTTCTTTCTTCTGTTAAAAATTAAAGTTATTTGGAAGAATGTGGCTTACCAAACAGTTGCTGGTCCCCATTGACTTCCATAGTAGGAAAACATATACTATGGAAGTCACTGGAGTACAGCAACTTTTTGGTTAGCCACATTCTTCCAAATAACTTATTTTCAACAGAAGAAAGAAACTTATTCGGGTTTAAAACAACTTGAGAGAGTAAATGATGACAATTAAAATGTTTGGGAGAACTATCCCTTTAATGTTAATAAAACAACAAAACACAAAGAGGAAATCACTCACTGCTCTTGACTGAGAACTTTAGTAGTAGCTTTAATAATAATCAATGTATAATTTATACAGTGAATTCTATGTTGTGTTTTATTTTAGTATTTGTTCATTTAGCCTAATTACTTTCTTCAATGCTACTGTTAAATACCCCTACTGTAGCTGAAAAAATAAAGCACTGTTTATTTCATTTGTATATTAAGTTGTGTATGCTTAATGTGTATCTTTGTTCCTAATTCTTAATAACAAAGAAAATAATGATAAAGATTTTTATCTTCACCACTTTGGCCTAAATGTCTGCCATTCTTTCTTTTGTTAACTATAAGTTTTTTTTTTTTTTTTAAATAGGGACATTAGTTTGGCTGTAATGCTCAGTCACTTGCAAAATAGTAAAACCAACATGAAAAAGAATCGGGATAAAATCGTTAATCGTGATTTTCCTGAAAAAAATCGTGATATGATATTTTTGCCATATCGCCCACCCCTACTTGTTCATTTGCATTCATGCTAGTGTTGTAAAAAATGTCAATATTTCGATAAATATCGATACTGAAATATCTGAACGGTACCAATACTAATTTCCCGAAGTATCGATTAGGGATGGGCATTTTTCTAAAATATTGCATTCGAATATTCGGGCTCATAAAAATCGAATATTCGTTTATTTAAATGACGTTTAACTTATTTAAGTTTAATTTTTTTTTACGTTTTTGTCACCATTTCTGAACACGCTTACAATTAGGCAATATACACAACAAGCTTACAATATATGTTAAAGTTTTCTTTTAGTTGAAAACATTAAACAGTAGGCCTATGTGTAAACAAAAAATATATAAAAAACAAAAGCATTAATAAAAGCATGCTCAAGCAGCGCGAATGGAAAAAAACGCCTAATAAAGCATATTGCGCCAGATATTGTACAGAACGCGCACACACACACTCGAGTCAGCATATGATTATCGTGTTTATATTGTTTCACATTTATATTGAGAAAAACGATATCCACATGCAGGGGCGCCGCCAGCAATTTATGCTCGAGGGAGAAAAGGCGCTTTGCTGACAGACGCTTCAGACACAAAGATAACGGTGTTCTAAGTTTCTAACAGCACTTTGCGTTTTCTGTTCTTAAACCTGTCTCCCTCAACGAAACTTAAAGGAAGTATATGTCTCAAAATCATTTTGCTATAAGATAAGTTATTTCGGATCACGCGGGGTCCAGCTGCGCTTACCTGCAGTCGTGAATGCAGTGATGGACAGCTGTCTTTCCTCATTCGACTGTTTGGATTTCATGTGATTTCTCATTGTGGTGATGATATTATAACTCAGATTAATTAATTAATTTGATCAAAAGTAATTCCATTTAGTAAGATCATTTTCAAGTAATTCCAAACTTCGCGAGGCAGACGACAACATTATGTGATCAAATACACAAAACTTGTTAACACACTCCACAGCGCCACCCTGTGCATTTAATTATAACTGCGAGTTAGTGCTTGGGATTTATCATGGATTCACTGCATTTACGGCCAGCAAAGCAACGTAGTAAAATTCGAATAGTATTTTATTTTTTGGATAATAATTACAGATCGAATATTCGAAAATTCGAATATTCGTGCACATCCCTAGTATCGATACTAGCCGAGCGGTCACTTTCACTTCTTTCCAAAGGTGCGTTGACAAACACCACACGTGACACACTTGTCTCATTCGCTCTGGTTAAATAGCAGAAGTCAATGGAAAGATGGCGAGGGTGGCGCCCCCACGACCGGCTTTGGTTGATTGATAAAGAACACCGCGAGCAGGCATGTCGGAGAATAGCGCGGACACGCATAAAAAACACACCGGGCATGTCAGAGTCGGAGAAATTTTATTTAATTATTTTGTTGTATTATATAAGCCATATATATAAATGTATAATTAATGCAACATACTTTCAATATGATTATAGTTGTGTTAGGATGAAATATAGCTTAACATGATTATAAGGTGGAACAGGTGGAATTTTTTTTTTTTGTAAATTTAGTTTAAATTATTACAAAAGTTGAATCATGATTTGTTCTTAAAATCCATCAAAAAGATGTAAGACTGGAATTGCTGACTTGGTTTTGGCAGTTCAGAATAGGTTATTTTGGGAGAAACTTTTTTTTTTTCTCATGCACTTCTGGAATCTTTCCAGGCCTTTTACATTCACCAACAGCTAATTTACACTGCATGAAAGGTAATATCTGAAAAAGCATAATGGGGCACTTTAAAAAGAGAGCAGCCTAATATACCTGCTGTCGTCTTTGTCAATGTTAAATGAACTAAAAAAATATTAAGATACTGAACTATGCAGTTGTTTTTTTTAATTCAATTTATGTAGTATTTCTTTCTTGATAAATCTACTGTACCTGAGAAATTCTTTTTCTATCGTATTTGTCCTGCTTTATTTGAACTAAAAATTACAAATAACTATATCGTGATCTATTGTTATTGTGAAACAATTTCTCTTATTGTGAAATAAGATTTGTCATATCACCCACCCCTATGGTTTACAATAACACTTGAAAATGTTTCAAAACATGCATGTGTATTTGGTTGTTTGTTAATATCTCACATGTAGTTTTCTGTCTGCCTCTCTCCAGGTTTGGGTACCAGCACATCTAAGGAGGCCAAAGAGTATTTTTCGGATATGACGAGACATCGAATCCCCTTTAAGTACTCTGGGCCAGCCGATGATGAAGCTATCACCCTGGTAACCATTTTTCCTTTATAGTACATTCCTGCTTTTTGGGAATTTAGTCAAAAAAAGTGTCAAAGTAAAATCATAAAAAGGGCTTTAAAATAAATCTTCCTGAAGATGTTTGTGGCTTTATCTATTTGCAGGCCTTTAGTAAGAAGATGGTAGATGAGAGGAAGGAGTGGCTGACCAGCTTCATGATCAACAGACGTCAACGCAGAGAACACAACCTGCCTGAGGTACCACAACCCTGAAAATCAATATAGTGATGTGCTATTTAAGAAGAGTTTATATATGTGTTCCACCTGGGGGGTATTCCAGAAAGCAAGCTGTGTGAAAACTGCACAAGTTATGTTATATATACACTACCGTTCAAAAGTTTGGGGTCGGTACGATTTTAAATACTTTTAAAAGAATTCTCTTCTGCTAACCATGGCTGTGCTTATTTGATTAAATACAACAAAAATCAGTTATAGTATTAAATATTATTCCAGTGTAAATCAGCTGTTTTCTGTGTGAATATATAGTAAAGTGTAATTTATTCCTGTGATCAAAGCTGAATTTTCAGCATCACCAGTGTCAGTGTCTTCAGTGTCAAATGATCCTTCACAAATCAGTATAACATGAGGATTTGATGCTCAAGAAACATTTATTATTATTATCAATGTTGAAACAGTTGTTGGTCTGTCAGTTGTACTTTTTTTTTTTTTTTTTTTTTTTTTTTTTTTTTTTTTTTTAGGATTCTTTGATGAATAGGAAGTTCAAAAGACTTTTGTAACATTATAAATGTCTTTACTGTCACTTTCGATCAAATTAATTATTCCTTGATAAATAAAAGTATTGATTTATTTCCTCCAAAAAATAAAATTCTCACTGACCCCAAACTTTTGAACGGTAGTGTATATATATATATATATATATATATATATATATATATATATATATATATATATATATATATATATATATATATATATATATATATATATATATATATATATATATATATATAAATAAATGCTCAACCCACACATCGTTGATCGGCATTCAGACTTTTTTTTTTAACAGGACTTTTTCTATGGTATAATGTATATGATAAATTCAGTTATTGGAAATATTTAAAAGATTGAAAAATGGTGCATATCACACCCTATTTGGTGGTTGTGCAATCATGTAAATGGCCATTAAGCAAAAGTAGTATGGCGTGCTTTTTCTTAGCGTCCATTTCCATTGATTCGTCATGCTGTTGAGAATGTCTTGCGTGTTAACCGTTAACAGACTCTGAGTTGGTCGAACTTAGAGTTCAGTGTATGTTTGACGGACCATAACCTTGTTTTCTGAATAACCCCCAGAAAGCATGATCTCGTTTCTGCTTTTTTTTGCAGGAGTATTTGTACGGACAGAAAACTACCTCCCTCACCTACCATGACTTCATTAATAAAGAGCTTGTGCAGTTTTCCAACTCTGACAATGAGCGATCAATCCCCTGCTTGGTGGATGGTGAGAAACATTACATGTTTAGCAACATTAGTCATTTCAATATTCATTGTTGTTATAAAGACTATTCCAAAGGTTAGGCATTACAATCCAGAGTTGTCACAATACTATAAATGCATTTTGTGATAGTATAGTGCGCCTGTAAGTACTCAAATAATTCCAACTTAAAATGTTCGTGCTGCCTTCATTTTAATTTAGTCAACAATCCAAATTTCCGCTTAGTACAACTTCACATTTCAAGTTGACTAAACTTAAGGTGGCTTGAACAAATTTAAGTTAGATTTTTTTAATAAATTTACCAAGTATTATCCTGATACCGTGCAGTATTGTTAATTCATAATTCCTGTCTACAAAATGGACCACATTTTCATAAATATGTAGATGTAGCCTCAATGAAAACAACTAGACTAGATTTTAGATGGAAGTGTTGGGCAGGTCTTAAATATTTTTATTGCAAATGTATTCAAAAGTATTAAATTGGAAGTGCTGATACCTGCAGATACCCTGTATAGGATTGAGAGAATATAGTTACTATTGAACAAATTCAGAGATGTGATGTGTGTACTTTGTTTCAGGGCTGAAACCAGGTCAGAGGAAGGTGATTTTCTGCTGTTTTAAGAGGAATGATAAGAGAGAGGTGAAAGTGGCTCAGTTGGCTGGATCAGTGGCCGAGATGTCCGCGTACCACCATGGAGAGGTGAGGACTTGTTTCGTTCAACTCTCTTGATTCATTGTGCAATTTGTAAGAACTTTTTGCATTGGTTTTGTTTTTGAGCAAGACACTGCACCATAATAAATCTAAAAATACACATTCAGAAGAATTGTGCTCAGACTCAAAGATAGATGATAATGTTATATTACTGAACACAAAATGTTCTATCAAACTGATGTCATGACGAGGTTAAGCCAATTAACCTTGTAAATTTCACATGATCCAACAGTCGGTATACAAACTAGAAAAATATTAAGTGATCAAGGTTTAGCTAGTTAGCATGGCCCAAGTTATTTTCCTCTTATTTAAATGTTTTTGTCTTCCTCAGGTCTCTCTGATGATGACCATCGTGGGTCTTGCTCAGAACTTTGTGGGCAGTAATAATTTGAACCTGCTTCAGCCTCTGGGTCAGTTTGGCACACGTCTGCATGGAGGCAAAGACTCTGCCAGCCCCAGATACATCTTTACCATGCTCAGGTACACAGACACACAGCCAGTGATTATGGCTCTGTACCAGAGCCCAGTGAGCTGTCTTGCTGTCAACTAACTACATGGGCAGGGCAGCTACTATCTTGGGCTGCATTGAAACCAATATGGAATCTATGGAGCCCCTTTTTTTATTTATTTTTTTATAGCTGGTCCAATTTAATCTGTACATTTTGGCATACAATTTGCATTGAATATAAGATGTTAATGTTAACAAATTAAAATTGCATTACTTTTAAAGTAAATATCTCTTCTCAGTCCGCTCGCTCGTCTACTGTTCCCTGCTATGGATGATAACCTGTTGAAGTATAACTATGATGACAATTTGCGAGTGGAGCCAGAGTGGTACATTCCCATCATCCCTCTGGTGCTGGCTAATGGAGGTGAGGGCATCGGCACAGGATGGGCCAGCCGTATCCCCAATTTTAATCTGCGCGAGATCATCAACAATATTCACCGCCTGCTCAATGGAGAAGAGCCACTTCCCATGGTAAAATAAATTTAATGTCTTTATTACCATAAATGTATAGTGATTTTTCATAATGCGTATTGTTGTTCCAAACCAGCATTGATTAACTTAACACTCCGCTTATGCCCACTCCTGTTACGTATAGCTGCCCAGCTACAAGGGGTTCAAGGGCACCATTGATGAACTGGCGAAGAATCAGTATGTTAATAATGGAGAGGTGGCCATCATTGACTCCACCACCATTGAGATCACTGAGCTGCCAATCAAAACCTGGACACAGGTGTGTGACGTCTGGTCTTATACTTGCTTTAGTTCTATGACTGCATTAAAGCTATATCAAATGTAATGCATGCTTCCTTACAATACATGACTCAAATGTTATTTACCCTCATTTGGTATGTGGCAAGTAGGGGTGGGCAATATTTAGGTTGACAAACTGATAGAAATATGAGAACCTATAGAAATTTTGGGTTATCGTGCCGTGGTTACTCGCAATTAACTGCACTATAATGTATGTAATTATGCATAATTTATAGTTTTTGCTACAGTAACTACATGTAACGTGAAACTAGGACACCTTGTAAATGTGTTACAGAAAATTGTCGTTTACTTACCCTTGTCTTTCCAAAAACAAGACTAGTTCATTTTTTGAAAGACGCATGATCTTTCAATGGAAGGACATTAATCTCTTAGGCCTTATTTCAAATATATTAATTGTGTTGTGGCAAAAATTCATCTCAAACAAACATCACTGTGTAAGAGACACTCAGACTCAAATTATATAAAATAGAAGTATTTATTCTTGCAAGAATAGGAGCAGTCTAATACACAGTTGTTACCCTGTGCAGAAGAGTGACACACCCCCAGACAGACTGAACTAGCTTTTATCTTAGTTCCAAGGCCTTCTTCCCCCCAGAGCCTTCCTCCCAGTAGTTTTCCATAGACGTCACTAGTTGGCCCACTAAGCTCCCCTGCACCAAATGGCCTTCTGACATCTAGGTCAGAGGTCCTTGTTCGTCTGTTCTCTGGAGTGTCTCCCTCTTCTGCCTCCCCAGGTACATAAACAGAATCTTCTCTCACTACAAGTGAGAGACACACATGTGACATTCTTTGAATCATCTATATTTTACTAAAGATCAATGAATATCATTAAAATTGCCACCACAATTGTTTCGAAGATGATTGATTCTTGTGGGTTTGGAAATGACGTGAGGAACAAATGACAACACCCAAAAATGAATAAACTTTCCATTTAAGCCTTTAGCAGTGTCTGCTATGGTTAAACATGTATTATACAAATATTCTAATCTTTGTCATGCTGTTTATAAATTAAATAAAAAATCAGCAAAGTGTTTAACCTCTCAAATGTTACGTAAAGCTGGGTGATACAGAATGTTAAGCAGAAAATGATCCCAGTTATTTTAGCAACTAAAATTGACAGCTTTTTCTTTGGAATAAATGATTAATAACACATCTCACAGATCTATAAGGAGAATGTGTTGGAGGTGATGCTGAACGGCTCGGAGAAGGTTCCTCCTCTGATCACAGACTATAAGGAGTATCATACAGACACCACAGTGCGTTTTGTCATTAAGATGACAGAAGAGCGCCTGAGAGAGGCGGAGGCAGCTGGACTACACAAAGTCTTCAAGCTACAGAGCCTGCTCACCTGTAACTCCATGGTGAACAACACGCACCACATTTTACACCTCACAGCATGCATTAGTTTTTCGCCTAACCCTGAAATCATCTACTGTTGTCCGTCTCTTACAGGTGTTATTTGATCATGTGGGCAGTCTGAAGAAGTATGAGTCTGTTCAGGACATCTTGAAGGATTTCTTTGAGCTCAGAATGAAGTATTACGTCCTCAGGAAAGACTGGCTGCTAGGAATGCTGGGAGCTGAAAGTGCCAGGCTCTCCAACCAGGCCCGATTCATTCTGGAGAAGATCCAGGGCACGCTGGTCATTGGTGAGAAATGCTTTGTTTTCCTTTTTCGTCATTTTTCACACCACACGCAAATGCAGCACTCATTAACAGGCTAGAGCATGTTTCAGAGTAAAACTCTTTATATACTGAAACTGCCGGTTCTTATAAACTGACTGTGGAGAAGCGCTTTTTATTTTTTGGACTACAGGAGACTGCAGTTTTCCATTATAAAAGCTTGGTTTAACTGTGGTTAAACTAACGATTACTGTGATAATCGATTAGTCGATTAGTTAGTTGTAGTTAATCTGATTTTTATTTTATTGATTGACAAAACACACCCACATCCTGCCCAATTCTGTCCTTCAAACAAACATGCCAACTAAATCAGGGCTCCAGACTAACTTTTCCACTGGTTGCACTGGTGCGACCAAACTTTCTCAGTTGGTCGCACCAGCATATGATTTGGTTGCACTTTTTTTTTTTTTTTTTTTTTTTTTTGCTACATGCCATGGGATTAATCAATGCATGCTGATGAATAGTGGTTTTAATGGACCAAGGCTAGCAAAGGCTTTCTGGGTTGCAGCATAAATACCTGTAATATATTAAATTAAAACCCATGTAATATTTGGTAATTATCATTGGCAAATTTCAGGATTTTCATGGATTTTGGACAGTAATTTTAATCTGTATATAATTCAAATGTAAAATGCTTAAAATTACAATCTACAGGGATGCAAACAGCGCGCTTTTCGGCGCTTCTCGCTTTTTTCACGTCAGTTTGGGTGACTTATGTGAATCGTGCAGATCCGAAGAGTTTTTTTTTTGGGGGGGGGGGGGGGGGGGTCTGATTTATAATTTCACCAACAGTAATTCTGGATTGCCTCCACCAAACAGGTAAATAGGAAATCAGAACACTGCGCGCCAAAACAGCAGTATGTGCACAATCGTGAACCACTAGTGTTTCTTGCTGCGTATCTTTTACTCCAACACGTCGCTCGCGAGCTACCAGTAGCTTGTGGCCTGATTTGAGGTGGCTCGTCAAGGGCCCGTTCACATATCGTGTCTTTTGCACGTTCAAGTTCGTTATTTCAAATGTAGGCGTGCGGCAAGCGGGCTCATCATTAAAGCGACACGCTCATTTTTTCCAGGCGGAGCGAGATGAAAACACCTCAACTTTTCAGAATGCCGCAAGCGCACGGCAGGTCATGTGACAAGAATCGACCATCAGCTTCACCTTTTCGTAATTGAAAGCTCAGTCAACGTAAAGGATGGGTATGCAACCCAAACACCCGGGTGTTTTTCTCTTCTCCGTAAATAAATCTTGTAGCAGAGCTACAGCAATCGTTTATCGGTGGTGGAAATCCATTAGCTACTATATAACTTTGTCGTTGTGGAGAGTGCAGTGCACGGTTGCGTAGCACTGTGATTTACAGCACTGTGTCCAAATGCTAACACACTGCTGTCAACTGTGAACCACACATTCAAAACAGAATAGATTTCAGCCTTGTGTCTTTCACACACTGACTCCACTCTCAGCTGAAAGGCTGTAAACCTGTGGTCTGATGCTGGAGAGAGGCAGGATTAACCCCTGTTATTTGTTCGAATTACAGTACGTATGTACTTTTAGTTTCTACCTTTTTTTTTTCATTACTGTAATTCCATAAATTACTACAGACTATTGAAGCAAACTGCTAATTTTCATTTACCTTAAAGAATTAAGGCCTGTTCACACCGGGATGAACTTCGCGCGCGTTATTCGCCGACGTTTAACGCCTCGTGACTAAACAAAGGGCTCCTATGTGAGTGCGCACCGACGCGAAAAACGCCACGCGTAAAAGCGTCATTTTTAAAAAAAACGCCTCTGGTTCGTTTTTTTGGTTTGACGCGCCGCATCAACTATCCGACCAATGAAATTGGCGCTTTTGCTCACGTGTCTGGAGCTTCTGAAGTTACAGTAAAACACAACTTGGGGGCGCTCAAACACAAAACGGTCGTGCCGAGCACACAAACGTAACGGCGAAGATGCGCCAAGTAGCGTCTACACACCATAGATATCCATAATAAAGGCTAGATGTCTCGTCCGCGCTGCTGGCCAATGGCCTTTATTATGGATATCTATGGTCTACACTGCCGGGAAGAAATAAGACGAGGAAGATGCAAGGCAAGATGAATGTAGAGCTGCTGGTCTCGTTGGTGTCGGAACATAAAGAACTATATGACAAACGCGACAGCGACTACAAAATAGGACTATTTCTGTTTTACATTAAGCGCCATCTAATGTCAGGGAATGAATTTGCATGTTCACTCGGCTCAACGTCAGCGAAAATCGCTTGGGTGTGAACACAAAAAACGCGTTGAAAAACGCTGACGAATAACGCGCGCCGATATTCGTCCCGGTGTGTACGGGGCTTTATGTTCTAAAATTTTAAATAAAAATGTGAAAGTGTCACTTTTCTTTGAAGAAAATATTACTTTGTATGAAGTCACTGAAATTGTTTAAACTGTAAAGATGAAAAGTTAGTATTTTCTGTATTGGTGTTTTTCCTCTCAGTGTGTTCTGAGTGACAGTGTGTGTGTGTTATCTCAGTGAGGGTTGTGCAGTGTTTGGCTGCACTGAGCCTGTGTTGAGCGTGTGTTAAGAGTTGTGTTGCTTGGAATGAGTTTTGCAGGTGATGTGAACTGTTTAGCTCAGGTGACTGTAGTGCAGACTGTAGTTAGAGTTTTGCACATCCGGAGCTACTTCTCTCCGTTAATGTCTATGGTGAGTCACGCAGGCACTAGGCAACTCCGCAACCGGGCTGAGCCCGGGATAAAATAGTCAGAATATAAACGCTTATTATAGGCGTACCGTAGTGATTCAGGATAAGTCAAAAACACGGTTTGGAAAATGGATTCATGATGTACTCGTTCATTTTGAACATGAGTTACTGCAGCAGCTGCTGATACAACGGCGTTCTGTTGCGTGAGCGTCCACTCGCACAAATGCGACCACATACAATTTTAACTCGCACATTCTCAAAAAACGGTCGCATATGCGACCAATTTGGTCGCAGTCTGGAACCCTGTAAATGCTATGGAAAAAAAAATATAGCTATATGTAGAAGATAGGGCTGGGACAACGCGTCGACGTCATCGATGATGTCGACGCAAAAAATACGTTGACGCAAAATATGCACGTCGATTCGTCAGACCCAAAAACAAAGATGGAGAGTAGTAGCTGACTGGATTGTTGACTATACTGCGCGCATAACATACATAGCGCGTGTACGGCAGAGAGGGAGAGAGCGAGAGACACACGCAAGGTCTCTCGCTCTCTGCCGTGCGCGCTATGAATGTTATGCGCGCAGTATGTTTTGTCTCGCATGCGCGCTCAAGATTCTGGGAGATTTGAACTAATTTGCGGGCATCAGGGAGACGCTCAATATGTGGAGGACTCCCGGAACTTCCGGGAGACTTGGGATGTCTGAGTGCGGGTTTCCGGTATGTTTGTCAGAAGAGAAAATGAAGACTCAAAAATATTTATATAATTTTTTTTATTGAATGCTAGACATCAAGTTATTATTTTCATCTTAAAGAAGAATTACAAGATGCACTTTTTTCAGTAAGCTAGGCCTATGTGTTTTCAAGGCTTCAAAGTTTTATTGAATGCTACCTCTGACTAAGAATGCATTACTTTGCACTTGTATATAAACATATATTGCAATGTTAAGGAATTCATGTTTTTTCATTCAGATATGTAAATCAACATGTATAAATTGCTATTAGTCAATTAATGGGGAGATAATCGATAACCGAATCGAAATCGAATCGGACTGGAAAAATGAATCGTTAGATTAATCGATGCAACGAAAAAAATAATCGCTAGATTAATAGTTTAAAAAATAATCGTTTATCCCAGCCCTAGTAGAAGAGCTATAAAGCAAAAGGACATGTCAAAAAGACATTTTTAAATCCCTACTTTAAAAATGAAGATAATAGTAAAGATAATAAAGAAAAACATAACTCTGTGTTAACAGATAAGATGAATTTTCTGCAGGAACACGCATTCACTCTGGACACATCATGTCAAATGCTTTTTCCCCCTTAGTTGGTCAGAACAAAAATGGATGTTACTTGTTCAGAAGACATTTTCTTATGAAAATTCTTATGTTGGTCAAACTTTCAAAAAGTGATTCTGTATGACAGTATCCACACAGCGCGGTGACTGACAGCACCACTCGCCTCAAAACACTGTTCATCCGCGCTGTTTCATGCCGATTTACAACCCACGTAAAGATAATTCCGCGAATCACTGCCGTTACAGATTTCGAACAGAGATGGCGACAAAGAGGAAAAGCTACGGACTGCAGCTTTAAAATAAAGAATTCTCGTGTTTTGGGGCATCTTGGATCACTTACCTATCCAGCAGCAGCTCACAATGTTTCTTCCACTATTTTTAGATGCATTTTGTCCATAGAAATGCGTTAATCAGTGTAATTTGACGTGACTGGCGGAATTTTTCCATTCATGTTGGGCAGACACGACTAATCGATGACATTTGTTGTTGGTGATTTTCATTATCGTTTATTATCAATCGATAATATACGTTTATGATAATATCGTTTATTATCAATCGAAAATTATCGATTGGTTGTACAGCCCTAGGTTTAATGTTTCAAAGTGAATGAATACAGCCATAAATATTGGTTTTGTACTATAGTTTTATTGGTTTTTATGGTAAAATAGTAGTATTTTATAGTCATAATATATAATCTATAAGACCATTTTTGGCTAAATTGTGAAACCATACAAACAAGCACATCAAATCTGGAGCCTTTAAGAACAAAAATACACTTAAAATCATGCAGCCTTATATTTTTTTCTAAAATCTTTTAATGCTATGTTGCTAAATAAATGCATTGTGAGATCTTAGTGTAAATATTGGGGAAATGAGTTTGCCCAATTAAATGTCAAATCACATGTTAATCAAGTTACCTTGGAACCTCTATACTTCAATATTTAATTTAACTAGCATATTTTTAGATGCTTTATGATGCTTCTCCTTATTTTTTAGAAAATAAACCTAAGAAGGAGCTGATCCGCATGCTTCAGCAGATGGGCTATGATTCTGACCCTGTTAAGGCATGGAAAGAGGCTCAGGAGAAGGTACGCACCGCAGCCGCCTCGTATTAAATCAAGCTTTTGTTTTCTTCCTTTGACTGTTACCTGCATCACAATTTTCATTGTTTGCTAGGATGTTGAGGAGGACGCTGGGGAGGATGAGGAGAAAGAGGAAGATAAGTCTGGCCCTGATTATAACTATCTTCTCAGCATGCCCATGTGGTTCCTGACCAAAGAAAAGAAAGATGAACTGTGCAGACAGAGAGATGCTAAGGTGACTATGAGTCTGTGATGGATGAAAACCGAGCTGGTGATTTAGTATAGCAGTGGAGTTTAAAAAGGTTCACACGCTTTTGTTCTGCAGATGACTGAGTTAAACACGCTCAAGGTGAAGGTGCCCACTGATCTGTGGAAAGAAGATCTGGCAGCTTTTACTGAGGAGCTGGAGGTAAATGAGATGATCATATCTCTTTACGTTTTTTACATTTGGTGTATCCTTTATCTAAAATGACACTTTTGCTTTGTGTGAAGAAAAGATATAATTAATTTGTCATTTCATAAAAATCAGGCCTTCATGTTTTCAAAATTAGTATTTCAATGTATAGCCTATTGATTAGTGATTTAAGTCATCCGTTGTTAACTGTTTATGTAAATAGCGTGTAGAACAGAAGGAGATGGAGACACAGACTGCGATACCTCAGGTAAAAGGTAAAGTGGGGAAATCAAAAGTGGTGAAGGTAAAGAACGAGACAATGCCCACCCCGCAAGGCCGCCGCGTCATCCCCCGCATCACCAGCACTATGAAGGTTCAGGCCATTAAGAAGGAGGGAGCCAAACGAGGCAAAGCTGCAAAGGTATGTACAGAATGAGATTGCATGAGTGTATACAACAGCTTTTGTTAGAATACCTATCTGAATGGTCACCATCACTAAAAAAGAATGCGCTGATATTGTGAAATTACTATTTCATAAAAAAAAAAAAAAAATAGTATTCCTGTAATGGCAAAGGTTTATTTTCAGCAGCCATTACTTTAGTCTTCAGTGTTTCCTAATCCTTCAGGAATCATTCTAATATGCTCGTTTGTGTGGGACTGTTTTACATTGTCAGGGGTTTTCATAACCAGACATCTTATAAGTTTAGCTGATCCTGAGGGAATACTCGTGTGTATTTTTAGAAAGAGGCTGGTGTGGTGATGAAGATGGAGTTTGATGATGAAGCAGACATAGCTGCTGATGGCTCTGAGATTGGACTGACTGCTAGACTCACTAAGAAGATCAAGAAAGAGCCTGCCAAAGACAAAAGTAAGAACACCCAGACATTTACTATTTGAAACTTGAGGATGTCTGTGGACTGCTGCTTTTCGTGTCTTTAGGACTGATCTGTCTTGTAACAGACTGGTTTAGCTCAACTAACAGAATGCAAAACATGAGCTTCCACTCACCTTTGTGTGCAGCAACAGTGGATGTCCATGCTTGACATGGAATGGGAGGGAGAGAGTGAGAGAGACCTAATTCCCACCACACTTGCGACACTGGATGAGAATTGAGACAATGAAATGTTTTTAAAACCGAGTACAAAAGTACATCCCACATCAAAATTGAATTGCAAGGTGATCTATTCACAAATTGTCAAGAGTGCCTGTTATAAAAGACACATCATTCTTTTACGGTTGTTTAAGCCAAGGCAAAAACGCATTAGTTCATCAGCATTTTGTTTTGCTTCCATAGCACATTAATGAAACCTTTGACACTAATAACTATTTACTAATAATTCTTATTAATAGGCTCCTATCACTAAAATCATATAGACTAGGAAGTCTTTAGGTCTGAACACAGCACAAATCATCCATGAAAATCAAAGCAGCTTCAAACACATTAACCTGCGTTCTTTGGGCTTATTAAATAAATGAGTAAAGAAACAAATAAGCAAATTATTAATCATAAAGCATTAATAATTAATCAAAATATTTCTTTTTCATTAAGTGCAGTAATGCACATTTCAAATGCACATTTGACAGTATCTGATTTTCAAATCAAACTCAGTGCTTTAAAGTTAACTTATTAACAACAGTAACATATAAACCTCTTTTTTTATATAAATTTGGCATCACATCATTTTTTTTATATATATATAACATTTAAATTGGATAATATTTTGAGCTTTGAAGTGCTGTAAAAAGTGCTTCACTTAAAAGCTTGTACAAACTGAAATGAATAATGTGAAAACATTTCTCCTTTAATACCATGGTTACAGTTTGCGTTAAAACATTAAATCCATGGTGAATGTTGGTGATTTGTGGGCTGAACAGCCTTCTATAACTTGTTCGTTCATAGCACAATGTTTCTTCTGGTCTCCACGTCAGCACTGTTTATGGTTTATAACAGAATTCTAAGCAGAATGTTAATGCTTCACTAGATTTTGTAAAGATGTTAATTCTGCAGCGAATTCATACGCTTTGTCACTGGATCTCCCAGCGCTATGTAGTAACGGTGTAGCGTGATCAAAGATTGGTTTGCGACTGCGAGTAAACCTGTTCTGAGCTTCGTCTAATATTGGACCTAGCTGATAAATGGTCCGCACTTCGCAGCTCAAATGAGAAGCATTGTTTTATTCCGCTTTTGTTTGTTTGCTGTTTGTTTTTCATATGCAACAGAAATGGCAGCTCTTATCAGTTGGGCATTGTGGTGGTTTGCACCAGTGCGACCTCTGATAAAATTGTCGCACCGGCAAAAAAAAGGTTGCAGTCTGGAGCCCAGGTGTAGTACCATGGAATTCTGATCCTAATGTTTCATCTTGATTATGTGACAGACTCAAAGTCAGGCAAGCAGACCACCCTCGCCTTCAAACCGGTCCAGAAGAAGAGTCCCTGGTCTTCTGAGGAGGAAGAGTCTAAGTCTGATATGGAGTTCATCCCAGAGGAAGTGGCTCCAAGAGAGAAGATACAACGCAAGGGTAAGGGTCTTTTTACACCCACATTTCTATATCATATCTATAATGTGAATGTCGAATGAAGCCATATATAACCTTATATTTTAAGGGCTCTACTTTTTTTCTTTTCTTTTTTTTTTTCTAGTATAATTCTAAAAGTGTCTCCATACTGGTTGTGGTAATAAACTTGAATCACAGCTTTGATCCTAAAACTAAGCATTAGACATATTATTTGGAGATATATACGGCCAAAAAGCAGCAAATCTAAATCTATAGTCAATGAAAAGATCACAACTGCAAAAAATTTGAATTTTCACTCCATTCAGGCCTCTGAATTTTAAAGAATTTTTTTCCCAAGTTCATTATTTCGACAAATATGAGTGAAAAGGTTTATAAAGAGCCAAAACGTGTTCATCTAAAGCCTTATTCGGACAGGATTAGCTTTACAAGGGTAGAGAGCAATGTAATTTTATGTAATAAAATGTCTGTAATAATAATGGCCAATTCGCACGAGATCTCAGTAAAACTAGCAGAAGTGGGAGGGGTAACTCTATTTACGCATGTGTCATGTGTAGGCTTGGGAATCGGTTCCAGGTTCCGGTTTGGAACCGGTTCCAAACGTTCCGATCCATCGGAATCGTACACGTCCACACGTTAACGATTCCGAATGTTCCTTTCCATCCATTCCCGTGTCGCGGCATGACGTTACAGTAGTATGCGACTGGATTTTTAAATCCCCCAAAAGCGCGATGGCTACGAGACGTAAACGATCGAGAGTGTGGCTTCATTTTAAATGCAGACCGGGGAAGCAAATCTGGGCGACACAACCCCTCCCGTCATTTCAGCTCCAATGACGGCATCAAAACAATGAAAGCATGGCGAAGCGGCTCTCCACAACTCGACGCTAAGCCCTCAGTACCGAGCCGAGCAGTTCGCACGTGACTTTTATGCAGTGTTTCCCACACATAGACTAATTCGCGGCCACAAAATCAACTCCGGCCGCCACATATAGCGTTTCGTTAAATTTTGTTATGCTATTTAAAACACGCAGCGTATTCTTTCCGTTGCATTTCCTTTCCCCGCTCTCCCTCCGTCTCTCTATCACTCACGCGTCTCTCTCACATACACACACACTAGTCTGTCTATGAGGCGCCGGACTGGACGAGAAGGGTCTGGCTGCAGACTTGCACTCTCAGACTTGCACGCTCAGACTTGCACGCTCAGACACGAGCGCTTCCGCTGCAAGTGACGTCACTTGCAGTCGACACCTGCTCTCCGCTACCGGCTGTGGCGTCACTTGCAATCCCTTGTTCTCCGTGTTATTTCACAGAGTCGATTGATGCCAGATTTGAAGATAGCCAGCAAGTGGTGTTTGGATCAATCTAGTGCACTGTATGGTTCTGTTCATTTGCCCAAAGTAGAGTGTATGGAGGAACAAGACGTTGCGGAAGCCATTGAGAGATTAGAGAAGGCTGAGTTTCCACAGGACAGAATCGATGCTCTGGAACCCTTTTGCTTCATCTTTACTGTAATGAATGACATGCAAATGTTTCTTGAACATGTAGTCGATGTCATGAAATTAAAGGTAAACTGTCGAACTACACTAGAGCAAAGTGAATAATGTGCTAATGTGTTTTTATATATGTTGTATATTGTCTATTTCTACCTTGTATTTGTCTGTTTTGCACATTAACTGTGTGTAATAACTGTAAATTGACATTTACAATAAAAAGAAAAAAAATGCATCATCTTGATGTTTTACATCTACAAACTGTTCCCACAAAGTTAGGAGCATGAAATTGTCCAAAATGTCTTGAAAATAATTAAATATATAATAATAGTAAAAATAATTTCTTTCTTTCTCAAAACTGAGTTTTGATTTCTAAGTGATCAATTTATGTACAAGTGTTTTCCCACATGATTGGCTGTAGGTCATCAGTAAATTAATGTGGCATTTAAATGCCAGTGTTTCCCAAATGAAACACAAGAGCTGTTAGTTTTGAATGATGTGTGTAATGTAGAGAAATGTGTTTAGAGTTTTGCAAATAGTTTGTTTTTCAAATGCAAACTGAGTGCAAAGCATATAATGTCCTTGTATTTTTGCAGGCTTGGTCTAAAGATTGGGTACATGAGTGAATGGTTTCACTGAGTGAGCCTCAAATTCCACTTGTAGTGTTTTAGCAATTTGAAAAAAACTGTCAACAAAATGACAAATGACACCTTAACACGACCAAAATGAGCGTGTCTACGCGTTCAAAAGAAACACGTAAAAAATTGCCGCGGACAAACACTTCGTGTTGACGCGGTCAAATTTCACGCGTTTCGTTTAAAGACTATTACGATCGCGTTCCGTAGAGATCAGGCGTCGATTGCAAGTGACGTCACTTGCAGAGGAAGCGCTCGTGTCTGAGAGTGCAAGTGACGTCACTTGCAGAGGAAGCGCTCGTGTCTGAGAGTGCAAGTCCGAGAGTGCAAGTGACGTCACTTGTCTGCAGCCAGACGCTATTGGACTGGACAAAAGCGAAGCGAACTCCGTGAGCGACACTGGGCGAGAGAGAGACAGAGTGTGACTTATATAAACTAATATAATTTATTTTACTGGACAGTTTAAAGCTCATAACCATATTTTGTTGTTACTTGAAGAGTGCAGTGTCATGTGGCATCATGCAGTATTTGTCCTGAAAAGGCTACTCAGTAAATGTCTGTAATTTAAGGTCATTCCTATTTTATTTGTATACATTTTAATCATTAACTTTAAAAGCACACTCTTTTTATGACTAAAATAACAGTAAAGGGTAAAAAAAAAAATGAATTCCCAAAAATTAAAACGGAAAAAAACGGAATTTGGGAAAAAATAAAACTGAATTTGGAAAAAAATAAAACTGATTTCATAGGGCCCTAGATATTGCACACTTGGTTTTCATTCTCTAAAACCACTTTAAATTAGACATTCAAAGCCAACAACTCTCAAAGCCACCCTGTAAGTGTTCAGCGAATGGTACAGGAATCGAAATGGGAATCGATAAGGAATCGCATCGATAAGCAGACTCGAAAATGGCATCGATATCGATAATTTCTTAACGATGCCCATCCCTAGTCATGTGTGCATTACGTTGCTTCCTGATATCATGTGTGCAAACACCTAAATTTAAAACGGTTAAGTCCGGTCAAATGATGTATTAAATAAATTCAGATTGGATTATGTTGGTAATAGGCACTTACCTAACGCTAAAAGAAGTTTCGTGCCTCTAAAAAGTGCGTTCGACCTTCTTTTTGATCTGAATGCTGTGTGGAAATCACGAGTTTTGCCAGACTTGTCCCACCGCCTAGAACGCAACTGAATGCTTTTTCAAGCGCCTCAATACTTGAAAAACCACAGACAACTATTTTTAAACAGGAGATGATGGAATATTTACAGCGGGTCTATTCGCATTGTTACCTGAGGTAATTTTTGCGGACCTTTTTACAGAAGGTAAAAGTCGCCGTAATCTTTACTGACATTGTCCGTAATGATTATCCGTTGTCCGTTTACATGATTGTTGGTTAGGGTTTACTTACAGTATTTATAACTAGCTGTGTATGTATTTGATCTTAGCTGAATGTAAGAGAAGTGCAATTTCTATATGGTTATAGAAGTTATCCAGTAATGTAGAGCATCCAGTATGCAAATCATTGAAATCCATGTCAAAGGGTGTGGGATCTCTATCTAAAACTAAAAGAAATAAAATAAGAAACTGGGAGAACCATATTAAAAGTGAATTTTAGAACTCAAAAAGCGAATACTTTTTGCGTGTCCTTGCAGCTGCTGCTGAAAAGAAGTACAGTCTGTCAAGCAGTGAGGATGAGTTTGATGACTGGACGAAGAGCAGTAAACAGAAGCGTGCTGCTGTTATTGATGATGACTCCTTCATCCCTGAACCCAGCGGTGCACCTGACAGTGACATGGACTCCCCTCCTCCTGCACCTGTTGTGTAAGACTGACATGCTTTGCTTTTTACTTAACAGATCTTGTCTGTTCTCTTACATCTTTTAAAACTCTCCTTGATTCTTTCAGGAAAAAAGCTCCAGCGAAAGCCAGCAAAACAAAGGCAGAGAAAGCAGAAACCAGCAGCAAGTCCAGCTGTAAGTACTGCACAATTCTCTGCCCATCACAGATCATTTCTTTAGCTTTCTGTAACATCACCTGGCAGCTGGTTTATATGTTCACTGTGCTTGTTAAATTAGCTCTTTCTGAGACCAGCCAAGAGCCAGCTCCTAAACCTGTGAAAAAATCAGCTGAAGGAGCCGCCAGGAAACCTGCCGCAAAAAAGACAAGTGCTGCTTCAAAGAAGAAAGCAACAGGTACTAGAAAGTTATAACATTTTTGGAGAATGATTGAAATTCTTCGATGTTAAATTCTTAGTTTCAGTAATAAAATGGCATGTACTTGGTAATACTGAATATCAGTATAGATGATTTTCTTAAATCACTTACGGCTTCATCTTTCTAGACACAAAACAGCCCTCAATCCTTGATGTGCTATCCAAGACAAGTCCAAAACCAAACCAAAAAACCAAAGCCACCAAGAAGCCTACTGCTCTCAAACTATCTTCCACTGACTCTGAAGACGCACCCCCTGCTGTAGTTGAGAAGAAACCAGCCAAGAAGAGGAAGACCGCTCTGAGCAGTGACCAATCAGACAGCTCGGACTCAGACAGTGGCAATCTCATGGCTCGGCTCAAGGGCAAAAGCACTGCTGGAAAGGTAGTTTAGCACTTTACTGTTGAGGAAAATTAGCATTTTAAGGCCAGCTGTATCATATTTGATATGCACATTTTCTAAAGCCTCTAAATCCTCAATAGCTGTGGTACACAATCTACTACATCCCTTCTGTCATCTGAATTTCTATTTTTTTTTTTTTTTTTTTTTTTCAAGCAAGTAAAAGGCATTTTAGTTATATAAAAACGTTTCAGGTTGAGGTGTACATCTATTTGCTGTGAAACTTTACTGATTTTTGTAAAGTAAACGCAAGAATGAATTTTATATTTTTAGTAACTAATGTTTATGCAATAGTCTTCTACATTACAGGCTATCAGAGTTTTGTCTTTAAAAATCTGCATAAAATATCTGTGAAAGAAAAAAATAGCCATAAAAATATCAGTAATGGCACCAAATTGCATATTTTTGCTTAATTTGGGCCTTTGAACAAAATGGGTGTTTATTTTATGTTATTTTATATCTTACTACATGAGCCATAAAAGCCTGAAGTATCAAATATGATACTCATGGGTGCATTTATTTGTTTCCCCCCAAGATTTATCTAAAGGTTCCATAAACAGTTCTATAAAGAAAATACGTTTTTTTTTTATAGAACTAAACAAGTAATAGACTTAATATAAATATCTTAAAATAAAATAAATAATTTTTTCAGACTTTACAGGGTTAAATTACTTTTCAGTAGTCAATACCAAATCTCATATTTCTTAATCGGAGTGAAAACAAATATTCTGATTATATTATTTACAAATTAAAACAATTGCATGCAGCATTCAGAAAGTGAAACTGCTTTACAAATAATTGTACTTCATTACTGACTAGGGGTGGGAATCTTTGGTCACCTCATGATCCGATTCCGATTCTGGGGGTCACGATCCGATTCCAGAACGATTCTTTATGTACCCCCCCCCCCCCCCCCCTTAATTACTTATGTAAACTAATGAATTAATAAGTACTTTTAAAAAAATAATTACAAATTAATTTGTTTGTTAAAACAGTTGTATGTTTAGAATTTTAAACTAATATAATAAAGAGGAGCATAGAAAAATATAACAAACAACAAACAAAAAGAGCTTTCAGTAGCCTATAGATTATCTGAATGTTTTCCATTCAAGAACTGTGAGTGATTTTTCTTCATCTTTACTATTGTTTTTTACTATGACATCATAGACTGCGGGAGATCTATTAAGCTGCATTCACGCACGCATCTCTTTTGAAATAAAAGAAGTAATGCGGTGTGTCCTGTCCGTTTAATCCCTTAAGACATAACTGGCTGTGTTTACATTAATTTTGCACAAGTAGCCTACATTAAACCACTACACGGAGTCGCACAGCCGCATGCGCGAGCAGTCTCACAAACAAAGCGCGCGTCAGCATTTGAAATTGAAAGCAGCCTTCTGTTAGTGAGGTTCATATTTTAAATAAATAAGTCCACTGCATTCCAAACCACATAAATGATGACTTCGTAGAGCATTTGTAAGGAAAATACCGACGGGCGAGACAGCACACTTCAAGTGTAACATCAAAGAAAGCGCGCGTCTCTCACAGCGTATCCTGTGCAATGAAGCCTGTGAATGTCCTTGTAATTCGCTTCAACCTTTCCGAACTTTATGAAAGATTATTTTACGGAAGGTTCGAGTGGTGTATGTGTGTGAGGAATTGGAAGCAAGCAGAATACGGGTGTTTCTAAACCAAACTCAACGTCATCGCACATCTGGTTAAAAACTAAGCTCAGAATCGATTCTGGAATTCTCAGAATCGATCCAGAATCGTTGGAGAGAGAATCACGATTCATCGATGGATCGATTTTTTTTCTCCCACCCCTATTACTGACAGTTTATTTGCATTGAGCAAAGTACAAGCATTAAAGGGATAGTTCACCCAAAAATGAAAATTAGCCCATGATTAACTCACCCTGAAGCCATTCTAGGTGTATATGACATTCTTCTTTCAGGCGAATATAATCTGAGTTATATAAAAAAATGTCCTGGCTCTCTCAAGCTTTAATGGCAGTGAATGGCCGTTTATGTTTTGAAGTCCATCAAAGCGCATCTTTTCATGATTAACCCTCTAGGCACCACGGTCGAGTTTACTCGACAAGATGCGGCCGATTTTGTCAAATTGGGTGTCAAATTTTGTTCGACCTCCCCTCCACTGGATGGCAGACATGTCATACTTCATCCCCGAATTAAAAAAAAACGTCATGCTTCTATACAAAATGTTCGAGTTCGAGCGCATTGAATCAGTGTGATCAAAAGCGGAGCTAGTGTGAGAGTGAGCCATTTTATCAGAGCCTCTCCGCAATCGCGGCGACAGTATTGTGGTGGAGACTTTGTCTAATGCCACTGGGTATGTTAGACGAGGTCGAAGTATTCATAGGACAGTTAGGGGGCAACGTGGAGGCAGGGTGAGGAGTCGCAATGACAGTAGTCCGAGCTGTGCACACTTGGCACGCGAGGCAGATCTGGCCGTGCTGCTCGTATCATCTCACTCATGATCTGTGCCTTGCCGTGGCGAGTGAGTGGTTGAACTAAACAGGTCTTGTCTACTTGTTTGTATGTAATATGAATAATATATATCTGCCCCATACATGGAATCAGAGTGCCCACTGTATTTAGTAAATGGAAAATCTCTACAGCAAAAGGCCAACCACTACATGCATTCGGTTTGTTTCTACCATTTATTAGTAATGATTTACTCAGTTTGTTTACTACTTACTATATACCTGAGCATTCAGTATTGTGCAATATAGCATACAGAAGGTGATGGACATTTTGGGGGGAAAGTGCTGCATTTTATCATTTAAACATGACTTTTCATGAAAATTCTATAATCCAAGATTGCCGCCACCATATGACGTCATAATATGCAAATTAGATGGGAAAATGTAATCCCTACATAAACTTTGGGTCATCCTTAATATTTCTCTAATTTACAGAAAGTCTATCTTTTATCACTTTTAAGATATAGCCTTTTGAAATTAAGATGTCAAAATCGAGCGTTTTAGGTAAAAACCTCTGGCGCCTAAAGGGTTAAAGTGCTCCACACAGCTCTGGAGGGTTAATAAAGGCCTTCTGAAGTAAGAAAAATATCTGTATTTAAAACTTAATCGACTAAAATGACTAGTTTCCGGCAGACGGCCTATGCAGTCGACTTGCGCCAAAAGAGTAACATTGACGATGTAGGACTAGCGTTAGCTTTAATGCCTCTTGCGGTTCAAACAAACTCAAGCTCCTCTGACATTTCTCTTTAAAAATTCTTGTTTTAGACTTCTAATTCGTGACTGGTGTAAATCATGGGGTAATTAATTTTTGGGTGAACTATCCCTTTGAAACCAATATACATTGATTTATTGAAAAGCTTGAGTTTAACATTTCATTTCCCATTTCAGAAAGCGAAGAGCTGGGATGATGACGACAGCTTTCAGCTAGAAGAGAAGGTCGTGACATCTGCCGCTCCCAGGAGTCGAGCTGCACGCGCCACCAAACCTGTGACCTACGCTCTAGATTCAGAGTCTGATGACTATTAAATGTTATGAAATAACCCTGTATTCATTATAATCAGACCTGTTAGATTTGTTTTATTATCGTAGAAAGAATTGTTTTTTAAAAGAAAATAAACCTTAAAGTAAGTTAGTTTTAACTTTAATGCAGAAAGCCTAATTCATATTGGCTCTTTAAAAAAAAAAAGTCTGACAGACTAAGAAACCAGTTCAAATACGTCTGGCTAGTTAGTTTCTCACCTTGTTCGTTGTTTTTTTTATACCTGTTGTCTCGTCTTGTAAATATTTTATATGTTCTCCTTTTTTTCCAAAGCTTGTAATAAATTTTTCCATTTGGATTTGTTTGACTGGTTTTTGAGAAGGCTATTGACTGCAGTTAGTTGCCATTACTATTTGTACTGTTGGTTTCTCCGGTTTCCTGCAACCACTTCCTGCTCACAAGTAATGAGTTACACAATCGGATTACTTTTTTCGGTAACGCTTTACAATAAGGTTAATTAGTTAACATGAACTATAAATGAACAATACTTCTACAGCATTTATTAATTTTAGTTAATATTAATTTCAACATTTACTAATCAATATTAAAATCAGATTTGTATTTATTGGGATAAGTTAATGCACTGTGAACTAATATGACCAAACAATGAAAGATTAATAAATCCTGTAACAAATGTATTGTTCATTGTTTGTTAATGTTAGGTAATACATTAACCAATTAACCTTATTGTAAAGTGTTTTTGTTTATTCAAGTAACTAATAAATTGACATTACGGTTTTTGTAGTTCTAGAATGTGCGCATGCATTTACTCTTCTCAGCATCACAAAAACATTCAGTATTTCTCATGAATAAAAACAGTGAAATGCAAACTGACTGTTTTGCAAACCTGCAGAAAATGCTAAAGTCCCCGTGAACCGGAAGTTGCAAACGACTTTTCTCCATTGTGTCGTCTTTCCGAGAGAAACGGAATACCAAATGAGGCAAAATAGTGGGCGTGGCTTTTTTTCCAACTAGCACCTGATTGGATCTAGAAAATTAGGTGTTTCATGCAGCCTGTCTACTGTTAGTTGGAGGGGCGTGGTTACGGATGTTAAAGGAGAACTCCGGTGCAAAATGAACCTCGGGTGTAATAACACATTGGTACAGACTAAATCGTTCCCTGAGATTTGTTTTCATGATAATCGAATGTAAAGAGTTTTATCTCTAAAAACAGTTTAGCTTATAACGCTAGTATATTGGGCATCGAGTAAGCAAAAAGAGATCGCTAGTTAATACCATTAACAAGGCTCAAATTAGCCCCACACTAACACGGCAGCATAATGAGTGTCCTTACATGCAAACCGAAGCATTGAGAACTTTGTAAGTGTATAGATAGTTTAAGAAGAAGATACTTTACACAGACAGTACAGTTAGCGCATACAGACAGGAGCCATCTTGGAAAACAGTCTCGATCAGTCAAACCACGAACACGGTGATACGTGAGCTGAACTGTGACTTGGAATCTCATATGGTCCGTTGTTTCCGGAAGAAAGCACTGAGCGCATAAGAGAAGCACTGAACGCAACAGAGAAAATAAAAAAATAAATATAATTTATCTTATCTTCAATATCTACACGTACTGTTCGCTCACCTTCGTGGTTCGGTTGGTCGAGACTGTTTTCCAAGATGGCTCCTGTCTGTATGCGCTAACTGTACTGTCTGTGTAAAGTATCTTCTTAATAAACTGTCTGTACACTCACAAAGTTCTCAATGCTTCGGTTTGCATGTAAGGACACTCATTATGCTGCCGTGTTAGTGTGGGGCTAATTTGAGCCTTGTTAATGGTATTAACTAGCGATCTCTTTTTGCTTACTCGATGCCCAATATACTAGCGTTATAAGCTAAACTGTTTTTAGAGATAAAACTCTTTATATTCGATTATCATGAAAACAAATATCAGGGAACGATTTAGTCTGTACCAATGTGTTATTACACCCGAGGTTCATTTTGCGCCGGAGTTCTCCTTTAAGCAGACACCCAAACCATCAAACCTACGTCATCAGGCAAGGTCCTCCAATGCAGAGGGGAGGAGAAATTTCAGATTTTGATTAAAGATTACGAAGCCAAAATTTGTTTTTGTGTGGATTGACTTGCATGGATGAATTGTTCACCACAAAACGATCAATTTAGACAAACAAAGTAAGTATTGTCAATTTTGAATTCACGGGGACTTTAAATATACTTTAATCTCCTTTTTTAAACCAATGTCTTTGCTGCTGTCCGATGATCCAATTCTAACAAGTAAAAAAGACTTGAACATCACATTTGTGTGTTTTTATTGCTAAAGTAAGTGTTAATTTATTCTGTCTTATTCTTCTGCAACCCAGATTTGGCAGCACAGCTCAAAGCACCCTGTACAGGTGTGCATGTTCATTTCCTTCCGCCTGAGGCTTATTCGTTTCACACATGGTGTGAAAGGGCCTTTACAAAAACTTGTGTATTTATTCAAATACAAGCAAGCCCAGTTCAGGTGAGAAAAGGTAACACAAAAGTAACATAACATTACTTTCCATAAAAAGTAAAGCAATTGGTTTATTAGGTGAGTAACACAATATTTAATGCATTCCTTTTATAAGTAACTTTCCCCAGCACTGCCTGAAACTGTTCATGAAACTCCTAATCTACATGAATATCTTAGCAGGTTCAGGTGTGTTTGATCCGGGTTGGAGCTGAACTTTGCTGGAAGGTAGATCTCCAGGAACAGGATTGGGCACACCTGGGATACACATTTTCAATTCATTACAGAAAAGCATACACTGGCATCCTAGTACAAACCTGCATGTTCTCATTCTGATCACCATTCTAAAGTCTTTAAATGCAAGAGTGGGTTTAGTCCTCTCTAATCATATGATTCCACCCTCTACAATCCAATCCAGGATTTGAAACTGTAATAAGCTGGATATTCTCGTTAAATAATGCTCTTGTTACAAGACAAAGATTTTTGTCAGCATGACCCTGTTTATTTGCAATACCTCACTGTAGACAGGAGATGGTAGAATTGTCTCATTTTCTCACAACACTGTTTTTCACTTTCTCCTTTTTGTCTTTTGTACTTCCCTGCTACTGAGGCCTTTGTGTGAATTTAACCCTAAAAGTCATATGTGGGTCGAAATCACTGATCTATATAAATTTATAGATCATTGGTCAAAATTCACTCTTATCATCAGACAGAAATTTCTCAATTAGGCTACAGTGTCTTTGATCATGTGACAAATATTGCTTTTACATGTTTCAACAGCCCCCCTAAGCCCCAATGAAGTGCTATGTGTGTCCCAGTAAAATATTACTGATAAATCCTTGTCTGATATATTACTGCATATCAACCAAGACTGAGGTTCATTTTCCTTGATAATATTTTAGCGTAACAAACTTCCGTATTCTTTAAAACAGGTTGCATCACTGCTGTTTCAGGTCTTTTGTACGTGCTTTGTTAAAATATAAAGCCGTTTTTCTCAAATTGCAGGAGCGAGCAAAAATGAGCATAACCGATATCCATTCCATATGCAGATTGAGGACTTAAATACACCAATACACACAATCTAATAGGCCTAAAATACAATGTATATCCATTGACAAGTGTTAGCAATGAGCTTCTTACACAATTTGCATAGAGCAACCCAGCTGCATGTTAACAGAACGATAACGTTCTGACAAAGTTAAGGGATGGTTCGGCCAAAAATGTAAATAAAGTCATAATTTACTCACCCTCAGGTTGTTCCAAACCTGTATTAATGTATTTCTTCTGCTGAACTCAAAATGAGATATTTTGAAGAATGTCGGTAACCAAACAGTTACTGACAGTAACTTCAATTTTCTTTCATAGGCCTACTATGAAAGTCAGTCGGGCCATCAACTGTTTGGTAACCCATATTTATATTTGTGTGTGTGTTCAGCAGATGAAAGAAATTCTTTAAAGTTTAGAACACCTTGGCTTGAGGGTAACATTACAAAATCAATTTCAATAGTAGGCGTACATTAAGTTTAATTTATTGACAAAAGTTTTAATGTGATTGATTAATCTTTACGGCAGAGAATATATATGTCGAGACGATATGACTTAAATGTTTGTATGCCCTAATGGTCTGGTGGGAGAATTTTTGCTAAGCATGCCAGAGGTTCGTGGTTTAAATCTGCCATGATATAATTTGTATATTTTTTCTTCATTAAAATCAAAGATGTTAATCAGTGACTTTATCAAGAGCAGGGACGTTTGTTTGCATTTTGTTTTGTGATTTCACCGAAATGAATAGAGTCTCCAAAACAGCGTTAAGGCCATAGATGGAAGCGTTTGTCTGTGTGAACACTGTGAAGTGTGTGTACGCATACTAGACAGTAAAAGAAATGGACACAGCGACCCCATAGATTTCAACGGAGAAAGTTGAAGCCCATAAAAGCACTCTCTTCCTGATAGCCAAGCGCACTGCGCAGGCTCAAACTGAGCTTGACGACGTAGATGTCACGTGAGCAACCGCTCTGACCTTCTAGTAGCTGTGCCGAGACAAATCTGAATTGAAATCTGAATCAAATCTGTTGTTGAAATATTTTGTCCCGTTGCTTTTATGAACTCTCTATCTATGGGCTTCTCCCTTGACTTTACGCCTCCACGTCCACCCGATTGCCTCATAGACAGTAAACGATTGCCTACGAGCTTCTACTTCTGTCTATACGGTAATTTCTCTACTGTGCGACAGAGCGTCCCGTGGTTATGACGCAATCGTTAGCCTATTTTTACAAAAACGGCTTCTACGGGACCATAATGTAAGATACAAAGTAATGGAGCCTTTTATCCATTGTCCCGTTTCTTAAGAAATAAATAATGGACAAATGGACGCCTGGACGTCTTTGGACGCCTCAGATGTAAAGTTATTCTCTGTCAAAGTGACGCCAAAATCAATGGGATGCTAACAGTAGGTGATAGCCAGCTACAATGGCGGCCCCCAGAGGAAGATGGATTGGATGGATTACCCCCTTGTGTGTACGAGCCACTAGAGAACGCTGTTGCCTTCTGCCACTAGTAACACTCAGTATTATTTCAAAAACAACACATTCCACGATTTGCACACATGCACCCACATAATGACCTTACTTGCAAAATCATGTAGGATTTATTGGTCAGTACTACTACAACTAATCAACTTCAACGGGCATCTCTTTGTGTTTGTGATGTGAAGTCTTGAGTGGCATCTTAACATCTTCAGTTTCATACAGAATTCGAGGGCGAGAT